CTCTCAATATTAGATTAGTAATTTTATTGAATAGCTACTTGATTTGTATCTTGTTGGATTTCTAAATTAATTTAGTGGTTCATGTTCCTAGCTTGTAATTTGGCCTAAGCGTAGTTACCCCTCATTCGTTTTCTATCGTCGTTTAGGGCCTAAATAGTTTTAATTATTATTTGCTCTTATTTAAGAAGTGCAATTTCTTATCACATTCATCTAAAGCATACACAGTCCTGCATCAGAATCTCTATGATATTTTTCTCATATCATTGTACCCTTGAGGAATTTCTCCAGTTAAACCATCTCATCTCAACAAGGGCCCTTTGGTTGGATCTCAGTTTAGCTTGAGCTAGTTTGAACGACTTAAGCTAGTTAAGAAAATAATAGTCTAACAACTTTACTAAGCTTGAAAAGCTTACTTCTAGCTTTTTCATGCTTAAGGGAAAATAAACAAAGTTAAAGTGCCTCAAAAAGTCGCTCAAGTTAAAGCTAAATAAGCTCCTATAACAATCATTTTACATTTAGGATCCCTTTGTCATTGTGATCTCCATTTTCACTGGTCATATATATCATTTTCCTCGTAATTCCATCACCGATGTCATCCTTCATCATTGGGTGTGTCTTCATCTTTTCTCCCAAGAGTATCGCCTCCATTCTTAACCATCATACACTTCATTGTTGTTTCATTAAAGCTGTCATCATTCCATTTCCCTCATAGTCACTTCGCCCCTATCAATCTTGTAGTCATCGTCTTCCTTGTTGCTATAAGCACCATAGATTGTGGGTGCAATCAATGTCGATGCAAAATCCTCAATAAAACATCAGCTCTTTATTATAATAATGATGGACAAAAGTAGTAGTTGAAGTAAGTTGACTTTTATTCAATTAATGTAATAATTAACTAAGTACTAAATAAAGCTAGTTAACACTAATTCCTCTTAACTTACAATTAAAATCGTTAATTAGTAAATAATTTGGTACGCAAAACAGAAATGTAGCCAAATTTAGATTACATAGCCTAATTAGCTGAAGTGAGATAAATATTTCATATATTAACGAAATGGATTTTTAGCTTGTGACAAAAAACAATTTTAAATGTAGATAAATTAATACTAAATGAATTCAAAGGAAAAGAGGCAGATCGAAGGTTATAGGGATGGAATTTGTGTGAAAAAGAAAATTTAAAAACAAAATAAATTTAACACCTCATGTGCCCCACAAAAGAATTGTGTGAAGAACGAGGATCCACAAAGCTAATCCAAATTAGTTATAGGCTTCGTTTGGGACGGCTGCAGCTGTCGGTAAAGTAGGTTGTAAAGTTATTGTTCAGGAAGTTACTTTATAAAGTTGCTGTACAAAAATCAATAAATTTTGTTTGGGTAGTAGAACTGCCAAGCTGCTGTGCTGCTGCTGTATAATAATAAATTACCTTGATACCCTTCTATATATTAACATGAATTTTTTTTTATTAAATATAAATGTTTTTAAATTTATATTATAACAAACTAATAATTCTAAATTCAAATCAAATATTTATTTTAATTTTTTTAAGTTTATATTTCAAAATATTTTAAATTTTTAACTTAATTTTTTCTGTCATACTTCAAAATAATTTCTTTAAATTTTAGATTCTCAATCATTATTTTATAATAGTTTCAAAATTTGACTATTCATCAATGTATTATTTGATAATAGAACACTATTGATATTTAATATTTAAAACATTAAAAATTTTGTATAAATGTAAAAAAATAAAAAATGTATATGATAACAAAATAATAATTTTAAATTAATATTTTATCCACTTTATCAAAGCAGTTTATGTGTAGGATATGCAGGTATTTGCAATTGAAAGAATAACCTGTTAATCAGAAAAAATAAAAATAAAATAAAAATTACTGAAATTAAGTACAATATAACCACAAAAAACAAACTCGACAAATTGATCTTGTTTACAAAGCTTAATTTATGTTTGGAAGCCTTGATAACTTAAATATTCCTCTAGAGTCATCCTCTATAGCAACACCTGTTTAATTCCTCCCTAAACAAAACAGCCAGAAAAAAAAAATGAAAGAATTTTTTAGTGAGTATGTGTGTGTCTGGTGTATGTATGTAGAACTACCCTCTGGAAATCGCTGGGAGCAACGCCAGGAAGGTTGAAGGCCCTCGATAAAGGAAGGAGGAGAGGGGACGATAGGAACGAGAAGACGATGCCACCGGGTTTCCCCATCTCAGCAGTGGAGGAGAAGCAGCTGAATTGCCCTTTCACGGGAAGCCACATGCGAACGAGGAACAGAGAAAGTTGAAAAGAATCCGTGTTGGATTTTGGAACGAGAAGACGTTTCCACATCGCGCTCGGTACAGCGCGAGGATTATCTTATCTCCACAGCGCCTTCCGTCCGCCGATAATCCACTACAACGTGAAGCCGAGCAATATCCTCCTCGACGCCGGCGGCGAAGCAAAGGTGGCTGATTTTGGACTGATTCGGTTGCTCGGGCCTCGACCAGAGCGACAGGGCACTGGGCAGAGCTCGTTTGGGTACGCGGCGCCGGAGCTTTCGTGCGGGAGCTTGAGGGTGAGTAAGAAAACTGATGTGTATGGATTCGGGGTAATGCTATTAGAGATTGATAAAAGTGAAGGAAAAGAAAATGACAACGCCGACGACGAGGGAGAAGCAGTTTCGCACAAATGGGGGCATTTACGGCATTTTTTCCCTTCAAAACCACGGGAAGCAGGAGGAAGCAGCGGACCGCGGGAGGTTGCCAAAGGTCGCGGGAAGTAGCCACAGGCCGCAAAAATTTTTCTAACGTCGTTCTACCGCAATGCCCCAAACGATCATTTAACAAATTTTTTTAAAGCAACGTAGCCGTGAAGCCGTCCCAAACCAAGCCTGAGTTCCTGCTCCGTCTTAAAAATTTTTGCTTCCCGCCGTTGCTTTTTGCGTCCTGAAAAGGCCTCCCACGTTTTCCTGCTTTCCGTGGTTCGGATGTGATAAAAATACGTAAATGTCATCGTTGTGAAAAGGTCCGTCGTCTTCGTCCTCATAAAGTTCTGCAATCCACGATTCTCCCCTCCAGTGAAACCACTACACCTTCTCATCTCCACCGTCCGATCATGAAGTCGCCAGTGTCACGCGAAATGCGAAAAATCTCTGGAGCACAGTCGTGCTCGCAACCGATGCAGAAGGGACAGGATGGATGTTTAGGGTTTGGAGATTTGGAGAGGGAGTGGGATTTAAAATCGGAAGGTCGACGATATATCGTCTGTAAGAAGTGACAAAGCAATTGAAAACGGCGTCTTTTTTGATCTCCGGAAGTCGAGTTGAAACGACGTCTTTCTGGATATCCAGCTGCCGACGGGAAAGATAATCCACTTCGGTGAGTTAGATCTGACACCGATCTTATCAGATCAATGCCGCTGACCACTTGTGATGCTAGATCGTCTAAGGTCTTTTTTTTTTTTTTTTTTGGGG